GACATAAGTATCAGGTAGAGATGTCTCGACATAAGTATCAGGTAGAGATGTCTCGACATAAGTATCAGGTACAGATGTCTCCACATAAATACCAGGATCTTTGATATTGTGTGCCTGTATTTGTATTCAGAGTCAAAATAGTGCTGTGATACTACTTTACTTTACTTTACTTTACTTTACTTTACTTCAGATCACCAACTCAGAGTATTTAATACAGTTTGCAGCTCTGCTCATCCCTTAGATGAACCGTATAATCCTGGTCGTCCAGTGCTACTGTCCTGCAGGATTTACTTATTCTTTGTTTTGTCTCACCTGATTAGAGTGACGTATTGATTAACAGGCCTCTGCAGAACTTGAAGAACTGCTGCAGAGCAGGTAAACAACTAAACATGCAGGATCGTGGCCTTCAAGGACCAAGCTTGTGCAGCACTGTGTTAGATAAAGCTTACAGCTACTTCTACCAGACAGCTAGATCTGATGTCACCATGTGAAGGACTTTAAAGTGACCAATGGTGAAAACAGTAATGTAGAGCCTGTCAAGAGGACAGACACATTTTAACACTTTCAACACAAGCAATCTGCCAAAACCTGGAAAAACCCCACAGTTCAAAGGTTGCTACCAGCAACAGGAAATGACATCATTCAGTCAGTGAGCAGAAGAGGGAAAGTAGGAGTCTGGACTTCCCAACAGCCCCACTGCTCACCAACACACACCTCTGCTCTTAAAGTGTTCACACAGAATATTCCAACACAACTGATTGTGAGAAAAGTTATTTCATTGTGTGCTGCTGCTGCACACTGACAGGATCAGATTCACACTTTTTAACTGTAACACACATGTTGATTATAGATATAAACAAAATACATTCAGCTCCGTGTATTTTAGCACTGCTGGCCAGGAATCACTTCCTTGGAGATTAGGGCTTAAAAACTCACTTTGAATCAGTGAGTTTGAGAAAATGGTGAACTTGAAAAAAATATACAGACTATCATTTTAGCTGTAAGATGAAGCATGAAGAGATTATGGAGCACCTCAGTTCTCCCAGCTATATTTATCCAAACCAGCAGAAGAATGAGGCATCCAGTATGTCCCACTTTAACCTCTTAAAATGGGTCTTTTATCAAATCAGCATGATTCAAAATAGAATAAATATACAGAAAATATGTTAGCACTTTTGAAAAAAATGTGACATCACTATCAGTTTTTTATTTATTTATCTATTTATTTTATTTGCTCATGCAAAACAAAGTGACTGGTCTTATTTATTCTGACTCAGCTTATTCAAACCTCCCAGATAACAAAACACAGTTACCCAGGTAGTGAACTAAGATTGAAATTCTTTCTTAAAGTTCTTTAATAAATGAAGCATCAGGCAGCCATGAGAAGCAGCAGGTTGGATGGTCACGTGCACTGTGCACACAGATCAGGAGCTGTTCACTAACTGAAGCTGGAAGTGTTGGTGTGGACGCAGCACAGCCTCCTGTCTAAGACCAGGCTGTGAGCAGAGTCATGAAGGGTGCAGGTGGTTCTCACACCTGTTCATGTAAATGTCCCTGATTAAAATACAAAACTCTACCAGGTAGATGTGTAACCTGACGAGTCCTGGCTGAACATAACCATTGCAGTGATCATTTCACCAGGATGGACAACACTTTGTCATGTGTTGTATAAAGCTACGTTTGTTAAGCGTTAACACACAAAGCTGGTCTGACCAGACCATCAGAAACCTTTGTTCCAACTTCAACTTTCTGTGACGTGTCCAGGTTATTCCTCCTCAGATAACCAGCAGGATCCTGGCTGAACCAGTCTGGAGAGCTCAATGAGCCGTTCAGCTGCTTCTGTGTTTTCTTTTTTGAATGAAATATACCTTAGTATCTGTACAGCCTAATACTCAGCAGGTATTATCACTGTAAAATATTTTAGAGTAAAATTTGTCACATTTTCAGTAATCACAAAACATCACAGACAAGAGGAGGGAAAATCCAATCTGAAAAGTGAAATTAGTTGACATAAAAAGCACAAATTAAAACTCTCCAAAATACTCTGTGTTATAAAGAACCAGTTTATTTCAATGTTGCCTCCTCTTTCCTCCTCTTTCCTCCTCCTCCTCGTCTGTCCTTTTGGATCATCAGCGTTTATAATGTGATAATAAGGTGTGAAAATGGAGACACAATGGAGGGGAGAGGATTGGGCCTCCTCAGCCCTCCACAGTCTGTTAGCAGGACACACACGTTCACACACATCAGGCCCAAACCCAAGGTGATAATCTGTCAACTGTACAATTAACAGTGATATTTGGATTCCCTCTTACCTTTGGTAAATAAATATCTGATGAAATACACTGTGTACGAGCAGAAACATGTCATTCATTGGACTTTAAATCAACAGGAAGTCAGTAAATGTCTGGTTGCCCCAGTGTTTCACAGAAGAGGAACTGCAGTGTTAACTGATGTTAATGATGGTCTTCTTAGCCTCAACTGATGCTTAAAAATACTTTCTTGTGTCTTTTCTCTGAAGTCCCTACATCTGACAGAGAGGTGGAGCCTAAAGACAGCCAGGGAGCAGGAGCTGAAGATGACGAGCAGGATGATGGAGATGAACGGGATGATGGAGATCATGATGATGACCTGGATGATGAGTCCATCTTCACCTGTGACAACTGTCAGCAGGACTTTGACTGTCTGGCTGAGCTCACTGAACACAGAACTAATCACTGCCCGACTGGTAAGTTTCATCTTTTGTCTCCTCTTCACACATGTATACACAGGTGAGAGGTCAGACAGAGGAACATGGTACCTGTGTGGACAGAAGACAGAAAGGACCACACTGTGTCTTGTGTGGGTTATCTGGGCCCCACCCTGAAACCAGGCCTGGTGGAGGGGCTCATTGGCAAGTGTCTGGGCTTCTATCCTTGAGGCTCGGTCAGGCTCAGCCTGAATGAGCTGTGTAGGCTTGCCTTCCTGTGGACCCACCAGCTGCAGGAGGGGCTATAGAAGGTGGTGCTCAGTGGTAAGGATGGCAGCCTTGGTGCTCTGTTCCTGGCTTAATAAAACTGGCTCTTGGGACATGGAATGCCTCCTCTCCAGTGGGAAAGGAGCTTGAGCTGGAGGTTCAGAAGTACCCACTAGATACAGCCCAGTAAACCTCAATGCATAGTCCAAACCCTTCAGAAGTATACTTGTATGGTAATGGTAGAAAATCAGAGTAATTTATGGTCAGGTCTTACAACGTGACATATATGGCTGGGTTTTGAAACATATCTTTTGGTTGGATTTACAGGTACCAGGCACTTCAATGTCCCTGCAGATTTTATGGATGAGAAGTGGTTCATAGACATTTTAATGAAGTTTGTTTCATTCAGTAGATCTGTGAAGAAACATTCTGAAAAGGATGACCTGCTTTGAATGACATCATGTTAAATCACCAGCTGACAGTTTCCTGGGTGACACAAACCCTCCCCTGTTTTTCAATACCTACTGCTACTGCAATCAGTGATACCCGTAGCTTCCAGTGGGACACACAAAGCTGTTATTAGACTGGCTGTAATTAATGAAGTGGCTGAAAGGAACTCGACAGGGGCATCTGGTTCCTACAGATTAATCCAAACACTCCCTTAATAAGCTTTACATGTGTACTTTTCTTTGTTCTTGTTACTGTGAATGAGTCCTGTGTTGTGTGTGTGTGTCTGTGTGTGTCTGTGTGTGTGTGTGTGTGTGGGGGGGGTGTTAGTAGGCTGGCATAGACGACTCTGAACTTGAATTGGGAGATTATCATGAAGGGAGGCTGTTTTAATCTGATGGCGGATGGATTGATGATTTTAGGATTGGGAAACGGGTCAATGATTGTTGGTGAAAGAGACTGAGTAGAGAACCAGCCTTACCAGTTACCTTCTGTCTGATGATAGTGGGGAGTTTGAAGCCTGTTGTCCATTCTTATTGCCAGACAGTAGCAGTAGCAGCAGTAGCAGTAGCAGTAGTAGCAGTAGTAGCAGTAGTACAGTAGCAGTAGCAGTAGTACAGTAGCAGTAGCAGTAGTACAGTAGCAGTAGCAGTAGTACAGTAGCAGTAGCAGTAGTACAGTAGCAGTAGCAGTAGTACAGTAGCAGTAGCAGTAGTACAGTAGCAGTAGCAGTAGTACAGTAGCAGTAGCAGTAGTACAGTAGCAGTAGCAGTAGTACAGTAGCAGTAGCAGTAGTACAGTAGCAGTAGCAGTAGTACAGTAGCAGTAGCAGTAGTGTATAAAACAGTAGGGTTAGATCAGGACTGACTTCACCAGTAATAGAAGGTAATTTACCTGTAAGATGTCAGATGAACAGAGTCATGAAGTGAATGAAGGTCTGACACAAACATGAAGTTAAGTTTATACACCGTGTATTTAGGGCTGTGTGGTGTATGTGGTATATGTGGTATATGTTGTATATGTGGTATATGTTGTGTATGTGGTATATGTGGTATGTTGTATATGTGGTATATGTTGTATATGTTGTATATGTGGTATATGTGGTATATGTGGTATATGTTGTATATGTTGTATATGTGGTATATGTGGTATATGTGGTATATGTTCAATATATGTGGTATATGTGGTATATGTGGTATATATGTGGTATATGTTGTATATGTGGTATATGTGCAGTATATGTGGTATATGTGCAGTATATGTGGTATATGTGCAGTATATGTGGTATATGTGCAGTATATGTGGTATATGTGC